TCATAGGCTTAGTAGCAAAATATGTAGATGCATGTAATATCGTTGATGTTGTTATTGTTGTATTTGCATTGTATAAACACTTTATAAAACAGTCTCCATCGGCATCGAAAAGCGGTGGCTAGTTATAAGTACTTTTTAGTCTACCAAGACCACTGGATGCTATTTCTAAATATTATTTAGATCTATTAAATCAGTGCTGGTATGTATGTTGTATATTAAGTCGTAATAGTAATTAGTAAAGTCAAAATGAAAATTTCGATTTATAGCACCCGCCATCTTGAAAACATTACTCGGCAGGCGCTCTCGCCTGTGACCCGCATTTTCCGAACCTGCCCGAAATGCTCCCTAAGCGCCTGCGGAGGAGGTAGTAGTTCTCCTATATCTATGGTTGAACCCCGCTGGGTTGAAAGTTCTCCATGTATCGGCCCCTAAATATGGTCACAGATGAGAATCGCGAATTTAATGTGAAAGAAAATTAAACTTGATAAGAAAAGTCATTACAGGGTTTGTATTTCTTTATTAATTAACTAAATCATTGAATATATGATGTTTGCAATGAGATATTTTTATATTCGTGCGAGAACCGTTAAAGTGAGAAATTAAAAGTAACATTAATATATAAAATACTGCTGTAAGCAAGATGCAAATTTATTTCGCGAAATAACTGTTTCAGTGGTTACTAGTCTATATAGTTCCCTTGAACGAAAAAATGTAAGCTATTATAAAAGGCCATTAAATATACCTGCGAACAATTAGAAAACACTTATATACCAATCATTGTATATATCTTTCCATTAACTCTCTTGGAGATATCCAAATACGAAAGTTACCTGTCAGTAATAAAAACAGCTGGCATTTTAACGTTCGGACATGTTAGAACCATAGTAAGAATTCAGCTATATTATTTGTAACGGATTTTTTATGATAATCATGACCATAGCCCGCATGTGGTGCTCCAATTTGTCCAATGTGTGGATTTTTTTTTCTTACATGTAAATACTCCGTGCTATATTATATAATTATATTGCCTTTTTAAGCAGTTCTCGGGATTGCCTCTATAGTTCTATAAATAAACATTCTGTAGGTAGTTGTGTGCTGCATATATATCAGTATATAAATCTCCAAAATCTAAACTTTTCAAAACTATTAATTTCCTAAATAATTGAGTTTCTATTCAAACCTCTATTATAGTTAACAATAACCCTATTAACATCGTCATGTAATGTAAATATCAATGATTTAAAATGTTTTAACTAAAAAAATTTTTCTAGTTCAAAAAAAATTTCTGGTGGAAGACATTCGCCGAAAGCTTAATTAACAGCATTTCTTGAGAATATTAATTTTGAAATATTCTCTACTTGCTTCCATTTCCGTTCTTCTTTGTTGTATTATTGTTCTTATCATTCTTATTTTTCGTGTCGTTAGACTTGGATGTTCCTAATGTTCATAAACTGTCTTCGTGGTGCTTTCTGCCTTGAATGATCGGTCCGTGTCCAGCGCTCGTATCGCGCAACAACTGTCGTATTATGTTTAAGTTTATGACTTGATACTCCGTTTGGAATCAGTTTATTCCACGGGCTGTAGAAGAACCAATAGATGCCATTGATAGGATCTTCCTCGATTCCATCAATTGTGGTGATTTCTGCTCCGATATCAGGGTAGGTCCTGTACTTGAAGGTGTGCCTTTCACTATTCTCCTGGGCGATCTGAACGAGGTTAAATACGGTACATGCTTCAGGGATGTTTAATGAAATTGCTGATGGAGGACTACGACCCAAATCCACACCGTATTCAACACGAAATGTGACTCTTATGTTAGCCATCAAGTCTTTGTAAAAAGAATTAACTAGCTGTTGCTTACTTCAGTAGGTTGTTCACACAATCTGAAAAGGGAGAGCAAAACATATATGATAAAAATTCGAATCATGGTGAGAAATTTTTGACATGGATTAATGAACTCTGCGCCTATCTACATTAATCGTCGTTAGGTCGTATATTTTGTTAAGATAGCAGCCATGCACGCTTCTAAATCAACTTTCATACCCTTATTTTTAGTCCAGGAAGGTGATTTATAACTTTCTTCAATAATCAGTCGGACTAAATACGGATTGTTTAACAATATATCGCTGCAGGGCCTCGTTTAAGGATGTGTAACTGGGGGGGGGGGCATATTTCGCGGGAGACTTGGAGAAAGCAGCATATATATGCATGTGTTAACTAATAAGTATACGTAACAGGGAAGCAGATCGTGCCCGTAACTAGGATTCTGAGACAACCGTGTCGAGCACCGAAGGTGTGAGCCGTCTAGAGGGGTCTGGGGGCATTCCTCCCAAAAAATTTTGGATTTCTTGAAGCTCAGATAGGCTATTTCCAGCATTTTGAGGAGTAATTTTACAAGAAATTAACTTTATAATATGAACAGTGACACAATTACTGCAATGTTACAGTCTCCCAAATATAATTCAGTTCCAATAAGGCAACATGATGTGATGATTGCGGTAATGAAAATGTGCGTGGTATAGTATTATCATTCACCACACTTCAAATTCTACAGTACTGTGTTGCATGTATTGGGGTACTTGATATCGACGCATTCGCTTCTCAGTGTCACTGAAGAGCAAGATAGCGTAGTCTCTTTGGAGTATCTTTGCTTGGAAAAACTAAACTAGAATTTGTCCTAAAATGCCATTTCATGCCTTTTTTCACGAGCAAATTATTTCAGCAATGGTTTAAGTTTCTGGCGATGTTTAAATTTCAGTCCCCAAAATTCCTACCGAGTCATGCAACTGACTCGGTTGACTCATAGCTAGTTACGGGCCTGCAGATGATGGTCAAATTCAGAAATGTTAACAGCTTATAACATCATTTTCTCACTTTGATATACAATTGCTGGTTGACCACCCACTGCAGACAGTTCTTAGGGACCTTGCACTCGGGGGGGGGGGGGGGGGGGGGACAAAATTGTGACTGGAGGGGCCACTAAGAGGGCTGGGGACATGCCCCCCCAGTCTACATGTTAAAAGAGGCTCTGATATATCGATGCAATCTCGATTGCGACTGGCTAAGAAATTACAACATAATTGTATGTAGGGAACGTACAATCTGGTTTTACCCGACCTTTTGGAAATAAGAATGCGACATGAAACGAAAAGAGCTACAATGTCAGCCAGGAGAATTTTCAACGAGTATTGTGCCTCAACGAGTATTGTGCCTGCCTTCGAACCTAACGAAGAAATCCCCGAACAATGTTCTTTGAGAAATCAGGATTAGACCCCACTGGTCAAACCCAGTGATCAGACATTAACATGCAAAAGGTTCAAAAGATGGCGGAATCAAGGTATATTTAAAATAAATCAGTAATGCAATTTAATATTTTTTCAATCTGTATTAATAGTTCGCATGCCAAAAATTAATAGTTCGCATGCGAAATGGTGCATTCAGTGCTGTAGAACTAAATTTACCAGAGAGGGGGCTCTCTTGACGAGCGTGAAGCCGTGAAATCGTAAAAACAACATGACGTCATATGACGACCAGGGGTGAGCCATACGATGACCAGGGGTAAACCTATAGCCCTTACCGCGGCGACATTTTTTGATTGGGGGGGAGGGGGGCTAGCGAACGCCGAAGGCTTGAGCCTTCTGGGACTGGGAGGTCGGGGAAATTTTGAAATTTGAGAATTCTCAGAGCCCCGGAAATGGAATAAAACCTGCTAGTTTCTCTTAAAAATTTCTTGAACGACTCTTAAGCAAGCCATTATATACGGGTAAAATTTATTCGCTTAGTACTTGAATATAGATTTCTTTCGAAATTTAATGCCTTATTTAAACGTAATTTTGCGTTTTCCATACTTATCATCCTTAACCTTCTTAGAAATGTTTCTGGAAAGTGCGAGCCCACTAATACATAACAAGAAAATAATAAATGCAAACAAACACCTGTCAGCGTACTAATGAAGACTGAACTAATCTACATAATTATGTGCAAGGAATAACTTAACGTATTTTAAAAAGTCTATGATAGTCCAAACCAATTATAATTCAAAAGTCTGACTAATCCTGCTGGAGTTTTTTAAATCAAAACTAAATATTTTTGTTGTAACAGAGATCCTGCTCTGTAAATGAACCAAAGTTATATATGTTTTCTCTTGTCGTTCTTGGACATGAGTACATTCGGTATTTAGTATCGCCAGATGACTGAATCTCCTCTGTAACGTAATAGATTCTCGATTTTCTAAAGTAGAAGTGGGGCTCAGCCCCCCCCCCAGAGTTTGAAGAAGGAGGATCTGCTTCCGAGCGACCCCACACGTCTACAGCACTGGGTGTATTTCTATACCATAGTTATTGGTGACGTCACACTTGCTCGTGAGAGATCGACCCATGTCAGTTTTCGATAATATTAATTTAGACTTGCAGTTGCAGTTACATCGATAGGCTTTTATCCATTCACTTTAGTGATGGTTATTTATATAATATATTTTAATTATTTAAATAAATTCGTCGCCGATGCCTTTGACTGATTAATTTTGTGGCTATGTTGTTCTCGCTTACAAAGACAATTTTTTTTATAGAATTGTTTTGTTCGATATAATAAACTTCTTGGATTCGTCTTCGTCCAGTGTGGCAAGATACGAGACCCTAATACATATGAAGGTGTTTATGGGAGGTGCTTCGGAGGGAATAATACATATGAGAGGTGTTTATGGGAGGTGTTTATGGGAGGTGCCTCGTCACAGTTACGGTTAAAAATTTTGGAAATATAATTCACAGTACCGCGGTTAACTATTGTGGTAGATTGGTAGAACAGTTAACTTTTTAATTCACAAGGGAGAGGGGGGCGGTATTATTGCAAAATTGGGGTGAATGTCCACCATGCATATTCCAATTATCCATACTGATGACAAACATATATCAGTTAGATTATATACTTGTTAATACTTGATTTAACTCTGATGAAGAGATGTTCGAAACGTCAGTAAATTCGCTTCCCAATTTTCACAGTGTATATATATTTTTTTGAGAGCTCCCGTGCTTGTATATCGATTACATGCATACAATGTCTCTATCTACAGTTAAAAACTGCTGTGTATAAGTTAGCATTTTAATAAAAAAAACAGACTATTTTTATGGTGTAGAAGTTCAAAACAGATGACATAAATCGAAGTAATCATGTAAATTAACTCTTGGAAAACTTGCTGGAATCATATTACAGTTACAGTTCAGTAAAATTCACAATTAACGGTAAGTATTTCGATAGAATAACAGTAATAGTAACGTACAGTATTCCAGTATATACTAGTTTTGACAAAATCACGCTTAACAGTTAACCCCATAAACACCCTCATAAGTCGATGACGTCTTTCTTGTTGCTTATCGCTTTGTTCGGTTTTGCACTATTTCGTGCATCTTTGTTTATTATTTGGACTTAGTTCAACTATTTTGAAAGTTATGTAAGCTATGCGAAACTACACAATATTGTTTACCTTACTAATGTTTCCGCGTCATGTATAGGAAGTACACCAGGAAAGCGCATGAATTATAGACTGTTCGCAGACTAGCCGACACGGCACAACAGTGAAAAAAACTATTTCATAAGACAATAATGGTATTATAGGTTTTGTTTGTGGAAACACCACGTAAATTTATTACTACAAAGCTTTCGATCCGTAAGCCCGGATCTTCATCAGTGCTAATAATATGTTATTAGCACTGTCATATTATATACATATGTATGTATGTATGTATGTTATATGTATGTTCATATGTCATATTATTAGCACTGATGAAGTCCGGGCTTACGGATCGAAAGCTTTGCAGTAATAAATTTACGTGGTGTTTCCACAAACAAAACCTATTATATTTTATCACCATGCAAACATACAAAGAACTTAATAATGGTATTCAATTGCAATGAGAAGCGAGTTGTACTTAAACAAACGAACATGTTCTATACCGCTGTGAATTTATTAATTCAGCCAAAGTTTAAAAAGGTAAACTCGACAAACAGTATGCAAAATCCCATGACCCACAACAGGGAGCAAAACTAGTGACGTGTTTGTAGGGAATTAGTGATGAATGGGATACAACAGTCAGTGCATGCACTGAATATTAAATTAAATGCGTATGTTTTCAAGTCTTGGTTAGAATTCATAATAAAAACACCTGCTAATCGACTTATCGTCGTTTCATACATCTCGGTGTGAAACCTGGAAACTAAACAAAGCATGTATATGTTTGACTCTGAACTAAAACACGGCAAGATATGAACTATATGAAGTATTTAAAATATTTATATAATTATTAATGGTTTACATCATCAGCAAGTTGGCGGCACATCGCCTAAGGGCTGATATCATCTGTATACTTAATTTTACGATTAAATTCGACGAACGCAATAGATTTTGTGCACAACGTTTCTGAGCGAAAATAAAATTATTTTCTCAGTTTGTGGTTCTTAATGCCTATGTTTTGTTTTGTTTTAGTCTGTGGGTACAGACATGTTGAAAGAAGCGAATCGTCGCACATTACATGATTAAACGCTCTGTCAAACTGTTTCCGATTTCAAATTTTGAAGTCCAAACAATGTCAATTTTACGGCAGACAACAAAACATTGTTTATACACCATAGTGGTTTAAACATTAAAGAAATGCTTTTGGTTTTAATCTTCAACCGCAAACAGGCATTGGGAGCAAACAACAAGTGGGTTGCATTGTATTTCGTTTCTAGGTCATTCGGCACTGTTTAGCAAAAATGTATTTTGGGCTAAAGGGCGCATAATTGATCAAGCAGATGTATAAGGTCTAAAGTCGAATTATAATAAATTGAACCTATTGTCTGTCTTCATCAAGTATATTTTCATTACAATATTGACAAATTTTGTTTTGCTCTTATTTTAGCTGGATTCAAGGAAAATTGATTTATCAATGACGTTACGTTTGAGATGACCCTCATGACTGAGTGCATGTAATGCCTGGTTTCCATATGGTCGTAACGGTCGTAAAGATTGAGTCACGATCTTTCTCATCAGCCGAAATACAATATTTTCGAACTAAAATACGCGCAGTGATTATAACTAGAGAATACTTGTGATTTATATAATTATATGTGGTTTACAGGTATGACTATTATAAAGAAAGAGAAAGATTGTGACTCTAGTTTTACGACCATTATACGACCATATGGAATGGCAAATACAATCAATCTTACTAATGAGTAATGATGATACCATTGCGTAATAAAATAAAACACCGGCCCCTATACGCGATTAATATGCCACACGGCCTCTTCAATTATCAGTGTAGTATTTTTTAACAGTCTGAAGTAATGAAGTAATTAATGCTTCCAGGCAAGCAGGTTTCTAATGGTTTTAGCAATAAATATACCAGCAAAATCAGAGGACATTTATGCAGTGAACAACGGTTTAGAGGTTTGAAATAATACAATATTAGTCTAGAAAAAAGAATTCAAAGACACTTTTGAGCAAAAGTATAACTTATAAATAATATACACATATATAATATGACATTGATATAGTTATATAATTGAAAACAGTTCTTATCTATAAGACCTGAAATCATCGGTTTGTTAAAACTGTAACCTATACCCTCGCACTTTTGTCATAACTAATACAAAACTATATAACGTTCTGGGCAAACTACAGTTGTTTTTGCTACTTAATAAGATTAAGCAGAAACTATGTTTGTCAATTAAGAGCATGAAATGCATTTCGAACGCATGCAAGCTTATTCTTGTGGTGTGCAAGCATGCGTACATCCTCACAATGCATATACAATAGCGGATACTTCAGCAAGATTCTCAACAACGAAGCACTTAGATAATCCATGACAAACTTGCCAATTCCCTACCTCTAAAATCTTCGTGTCATCTATCTTTATGCCTCTAACCACAGCTTGTTTACGTTTTGAGGGACCCAATGCAGCTTATGGATATATTTATACAGAAAAACCAAGTGTTCGGCGATACTTCAGACGTGCGGGCAAGGTACTACGACCTAATGTTTAATGACACACTCTTAGCTGCTTGATATTGTTGATAGCTACTCATATCAAAATTCCTACCGACAAAATACACAAAGTCATTCCAATCAAACCGGTTTTGTGTATCCGGTTACGTTATTTGCATAACAGCAATGTCCACCTGCTGAGGTTTGCTGAGATAAATTGTGCCTATAACTGAGACAGACAGTATTATATTGTTATAGATTTGCTGGAATGTTTATATTTATTCGTCAAACAGAAAATATCTCCGATTCAACATATAAATACATTACTGTATTGCATTCATAGCAAATTGAACATTAATTTTGGCAATGGCTATATCGGTTTTTAGCGGCGAAGCCGGGAATTTATTAAATTAACCCATTCATTCTTATTTACCATGCTAGCTTGTATAGTGATTTCAAACACCACGAATATTATATAAGGTGCATTTAAATATTTTCAAAAACCTCCTGTCAAACGTTAAAACAGTTTTAATGGCAATTGGTGTGGTAAAAGTAAATTTCACGCGAGATCTTAATTTTAAAGCTCGCGTTTCTGATGCACAGAGATCGAGTTCAAATTTTCAGCGACAGCTCACACTGCGCATTGGCACATCTTGCGTCCGACCAATTCAGTAATTCACTGTTTCAAATCGATCTTACACTCACAGTGCAGCAGTGTCAATAAAGCCGGATTAAGGACAAGGATACACTGGATACTTTTCAATTTCGGTACGTGCAACATGCGTAAACAAATAATGAAATGGAGATATCGGAAAACATTAGAAGTGCCGAAGGAATTGAAAACCATGAAAACACACTTTACGTCGCGAGGTGTGGGAGTCAAGATATGGTGTATTGCAATACTACAGTGATTACAAAGTTTTCAGAATTTTAAAAATCAGTCCAGAATACGGACAGTTTGCATGCTTAGTCACGTTTCGGGTTGGTCAATTTTTAAAACTCCCCGCCATCACCTGATGTTGAGTTTTAGAACTAGATACTTGATTTTACGTTGGAAAATATGGGAGGCCTTAGATGATCGATGGTTATTCGATGCAAGAACCAAAGCTGATTCTATTTGCTGTTGTTTGTTATTCATATAATCAGTAAGAATATATTTATTAAGAATTTAACTATATGTGGTAAAGCATTGTGTAAAATCGCAAACTTTTCAAAACTATCCTTTACTTCCCACGCTCGATCATATGTCACTGTTTGACTTTGATCAAGGAATGACCTGGCAAGCCAGGCACGTTTCACACACTAAGGCAAAGTGTGAAGGTATATAAAAGAGCCTGGCTTACAAGGTTGATGATGGAGTAACTTAATTCACCCAAGATTACTGTAATTACCATTGTGAGAATATATAGAGATAAATAAAGCCTCACTCTAGCTCAGCTTTAGCGGTCATTTTACTGATTTTAGTATAGTTGAAAACATTTTCTTGTATTTGTCAGTCATTTGTAAGATTATGAAAACAAAGCACTTGACAAAGAATGGGGAAAATTAAACATTAAGTTGAATGCGATCCAGCAGTCATCTTAACTAAAAAACACCATGCCATGCCTTGGTGATAACATTGTCACGAAGCGCTTCAGAGTGTATTCACTAATTCAGTGTAGTGCAAAACGGTTTGCACCGAAGAGAATAAATGAATAATTATGCTTAAAAAATTCATTAATAATTCACGAGGAAAATACAAAAGAAATGAATGTTTAATCAATGTTTGTATATTGGATAAAGATTTTTCCTGATTTACATAAACTTCAGCTTTGATTTTCTCGGCTTAGACATTTTTTATTTTCAAAATTACTTTGTCAATGAACTCATAAGATGGGTCATTTTCAAAGTACGATATATCAGATACAGATCGGCTGCTCATGTTTTATCTATAGTACATAAAGATCAGTGAATGTATTACCAGTACTTGTGAAATTGCCTGTTAATTAAGGTGGATCTCCACTAGACAATAGTTGAGACGATTTTTATCGGGCAATCGTCATAAAAATTCTCGACGATTTAGAGAGGCAATCATCAAATTCTCGACGATTTTGGCGATCGTCTGGCGCTCGACGAAAAGTGAGACAATCCCGACTTTTGTTGAGCGCTAAAGTCTAGACCGCATCGCTCTTCTAACATTTTTATTTCAATTGCGCATGTGTTGTCGCGAACTGTTTTGCCGATCGTCTCAAAAATCGTCTATTGGAGATCCGCCTTTACTATTTAGCCTATTATCTATATATCACCGCAATTTATCGAGTAAATAAATAATAACTTGTTGATGACAGCGGTCGTTACGATAACATGCATAAATTAAGCGTAGGAATTAACCTTGTTTTATATACTAATCCAGCATATTTCGCTGGGACATTAACCATGATGTACAGTACCCTCGAAATTGACATTTGTCTGTTTTGTCACCATGTTTTGGGGAAACTTGATATGACTAGGTCTTAACATGAGGAGTACGTAGTCCTCCACGAAAAAAAGATAAAAAAAGGCACTGCATGAACACAAGGCAAGCATCAACAATTAGAAATCACTCCCAGATATGGAACGTAAACGAATTACCTTTGAGTAATATGCTTTGTATTATGGTTGGCTGGTATGTTAAGTTAATTGTATTTGTAGTCAACCGTTCAGTCACCTACTTGGAAGTGACGAGCTAGTGAATTGTGTAGATATATTTGCAAAACCATTTCGTCGAAAGCGCTGGGAGTGGACGAGGGCAGGGCTTTGTTCCGTGGCAACCGCAAATATATCTTTGCCAAAATAGGTTCGTACACAGGTGCTCCAAACGGGCAATTGATAAAAGGAGTGCGAATAGTTGTCGAATAGTGCGAATAGTTGTCGAATAGTGCGAATAGTCGGCGAATAGTCGGGGAATAGTGCGAATAGTCGGCAAATAGTCGCGAATAGTACGTGATAATTAATAGTCGATGAATAGTCGACGCGTCCATGAACTCACTATGTGAACTCGACGATCTGTTCTTAGTTAAATTGCTAACTTTTAAGATTGATTTAAAAGTTCTGCAATGTCAATGAATTATTCTGATTAATAATATAAAAGATATTGGTGAAATTTTTTATTCCCACATATAAGTCTGAAATGATTTGCCAAAATACTAATTGGGATAAATTCTGTCGCGCATGTAAAGACGTTACAGTTATGCGCAAAGTTTACACCAGTGCGCTCCGATATATGCATGATCAGGAAACTGTACATAAAATGGTTACAGAGAGTACAGCATAAAACTCCTCGAGTACACACCTTTTTTAGTTATAAACTACTCAGTTTAAAAAAAAACTTTTTCGAAATATTCGCCGAATCAAATTTACGTATAGTAAACTTTTTAGATGTACTTTCGATCTTAACAACGGAAAATATAGGCCCTATAGGAAGCCCAATGACGATCCGCTATACATAAATAGCTACTCTAACCATCCACCTAGCATTATAAGGCAGCTATTAGAATGTTAGGGTTTGTAATCCAAGTGCATGAGTATATATACATTTTAAGACCTAACCAGGAACGACTGCGAAAAATGCAGCACAAGGTCCTCTGGTAGGAATTGAACCTACGGCCCTGCGATTCCGGTGCAACGCTCTAACCAACTGAGCTACAGAGGCCAGCTGTAGAGCTGTAACCGTAAGTTCATGTATATATAGGTAATCGGGTGTGCGGGTTGTGATACGGTGGACTTCAATGATTTGGATTCTTGCACTTCACTTGGTGGAATTAATATTAGAATGTTACAGCTGCCGCCTCTGTAGCTCAGTTGGTTAGAGCGTTGCACCGGAATCGCAGGGCCGTAGGTTCAATTCCTACCAGAGGACCTTGTGCTGCATTTTTCGCAGTCGTTCCTGGTCAGGTCTTAAAATATATACAATCACTTGGATTACAAACCCTAACATTCTAATATTAATCCCACCAAGTGAAGTGCAAAGAAACCACATCATTCAAGTCCACTTTATCACAACCCGCACACCGGCCGATTACCTGTATATACATGAACTTACGGTTACAGCTCAACAGCTGGCCTCTGTAGCTCAGTTGGTTAGAGCGCTGCACCGGAATCGCAGGGCCGTAGGTTCAATTCCTACCAGAGGACCTTGTGCTGCATTTTTCGCAGTCGTTCCTGGTCAGGTCTTAAAATGTATATAATCACTTGGATTACAAACCCTAACATTCAAATACTCCTCATTGATAGTCGGACGCATCATTGACCGCGCCCTTAAACAAAATATTCAGCGGATACTCTTCTTATTAGATGCGCCTTCCCAGTGTGTCTTGCGCACGCAATTGATGATTTCATAATATTGTATTGCTTGGTTGAGATGTCAAAATCTGAGCAGGACACATTGTGGCTTCATATCTTGTGTGGTGATGACATCTAACATATTTTATTAAGTTATATTCGCCATTTCCACTTTCTTTTCTTTACCTTTGTAAATGTTTTTTGTAACTCTTTTCGGAGCGATTGCAGAAAATCCGTCCACTTTTTAAGTTATGCCTTTCAAACATCATGGATACTATGTATTAATACATCTATATTTATTCTCATCTATATTTATTCTCATCTATATATATATATATATATATATATATATATATATATATATATATATATATATATATATATATATATATATATATATATATATATAATAAATAGATCGATAGTCTCATAGTCTAGTAAATGATAGATTTTTAAAATCCCATGGTGGTAAAGGTATACTGCTACGAGGCATACAGTGACTTAGCATTAATAGATTAAATTGTCATAGTGTTAAACTTTAAGGTAGCTCTATATTCTAGTGGAACGCGGGATACGCAGTCAAGTAGTTATTTTGAGAACGAGGGATACAGTTAGATTAGCATTAGATCAAATTCTCATACTACAGGTAGCTCTATATTTTAGTGGATACGCGAAATACGTGGATACGCAGTCAAGTAGTTTATATTTTGAGATCAAGGCGACAGTTAGTTAACTTAGTTAGCATTTGTGAATTTTCACATGCTATAGAGAGCTTAAATGTGGTGTAATATGTAAATATGTTCCTCACAACCGGACATTGGTGTTTGACAGATTATGATTAATTAGCGTCACTGGGAGAAAACATTTTATATTATAAAGCATACTAAGCATAAGACATTAAAAGTCTTGCATGATATTTCCTTTATAGTTATCAATTCGTAATAGTTTGTGTATATTAGAACCAGGCAATAAGAGTCTGGTATATACGTATCCACTATCCAGTGAAATGTGGCCGGGCGACATGATATGATATCACTAGTGGACGGGTATTCTGCAATTATGCAGGATACGAAGGGATCGATCGATAACGCGCGGAGGCCTGGACGCGGATCAATGATGCGTCCGACTATCAATGAGGAGTCCGACTGTCTACGGAAAAAAATTTGCGGCGCCGTCAGGACGACGGCTAAACAAAATGTTTGAAATAAATGATTGAATGGAAATATTGTCTTGTATTACTTTCGTATGAATTTAACACAGTTTAAAACAAGTCAGTAAAACAGGGCTTTAACCTTCAGAGCAATTTTGATCAACTGACAACTGTGTTAGAAAAATTGGCTGCACGGCTTGAAATGCTAGCGTACGTTACAAGACGTGAAAATTGATGCATTTTGCCGTCGTCAACAGAGCCTGGACGACGTCTGGAACTCCAGCTATACTTTTAATTATTCATTTCTTTTGTGCTATAGGATTAATTAATGACATTGTATTGATAGCCGTCGTCCTGGCGTTCCCGTCTTACATGCGTAAACTCCCTATTCAGTGACGACTATTCGCCGACTATATTCGCATTATTCGCGACGATTCGCACTTACGCACTATTCTCCTATCATCAACTGCCATTCCGTACGTGACTATCATGAAATAACTTAATTATATAGTTCATATTGCGTTTTTAAAGTTACATTGATTGCGCACTTTGAACTTATTTGGCATTTGCGTATTAATTAATGTCCACCAAACGTGCGTGGTATACGTATCAAAATTGCGAAAGAAAGCCTTCTGACTGCATGATTGCTCACCATGCAGATTGTACAGAACACAAGCTGTGCAATGAATGCGATGTCTGGAAGCTATATATGCTAATTAACCACACCACGACCAAGTGTGAGATTATTAACATGATTCGGTCCTTGCACATGCTAAGGGATTTGTTTCCAGCCGACGTTAATTGCAAGAACAACTCTTTTTTGCACAACACGCAGTTTACAAATTACCGCTATTATATACATCAATTAGGCCATTTCGTAAAGTTGGGGGGTGCTAATGATCTCTTCTTGCCAGTAGTGAGCTGGCTGCGAATCGGTCAACAGGTTATCACAACTAAATGGGAAACAAAATAAATTCGATATTTCTTTTCTAGAAAGAGCTAATTAGTTTCATGAAATATTTCAAATGGTGTGCCAATATCCGTGATTCACTGATTGCATGTTTAGTGCGACATTAATAATAATAGTCTCTTTACAATCGTTATTCAGTGAAGAAAACATACTTTTCATTATCGGTTTTTAAACATTTTAGAAACAGTTATATAGCCTTTTCTACGTCGGCAAACTTTAAAGATAGTAATTCATGTCAATAAATCAACATGCAGGTTGAACAAAGGTTTGAACCTGCGCGAAAATATTTTCACTACGATTAATTAAATAGACGTCGAGATTGTTTACGCGTACTGCAGCAAAAGATTTCGGATTCGCTACTGTTTTCAGGATAGCCGCCAGAAAAGGTTGCAGATTCATTGACGACAGCGTAACATTACTAACATACCGCTTACACCTACAATTTTCTGGATTCAAATATTTCTGGATATAAAGCTTCTACGCGTATACTTTTCCCCAATTCAAAGTTTCTGGGTACGGCTCAACTGATTAAACCGAGATGATTTCCTATCAGATTCTTCGCTACGTGTGTAAACGGCAACATGAATCCGGTACTAGCTAAAATCTTTCTGTTTCGTCAGTGATGAGTCCAAAGTCATTCGCTCTATAGTGTAAACAGGACCGTATTAGAACTACTGTAGTTAATATTAATTATACTCACTGCAGAAAAATTCTGTATTATGCACTGGTCAAAATCAACACTTCGTGCACATTTGTCCGAAAAAAGATTAGCAAATGATCTTTCATGATCAACCATAATCCAGCAAAAATTACAAAATATATTATAAACGTTTCCGCTCAACCATTCTGTTCTACCGATCACCATACTTATGTGTTGACAGATGACAATTTCGAATTCTTATTAGTAAACATTTTTGTCATATGGGTATAAAAAATGTTAATCTGCATGCATTAAATCTTGCAGGAGTGCTAAAATTGCCGATTTTAAAAAGTCTCCTAGTACCTATACCTACATAAAATTATATAAACATGATATAGCCTTGTAGAGGAATGTATCAAACTAGTCGGATATGATCACGTTTGAATATAGTGATGACCATGATGACACAAATTTCCCTGAAGTAATTTCCCTGAAACACTTGGCTAACGAGTTTGTGAAGCTATCTTTGGAATATATTTTGCATTAATACTGATGACTACCCCATAGTTTCCGCCGCTCGGCTGCTGTCTCTATTCTTCATCCTAATCCATGGCATGCACAAAGACACTTTCATGATCGCATGATGTAAATTTCACATATTCTGTTTCAAGTCATATGCATGCACGAAAACAAATGCCATGAACCGTATCGAGAACTATAGTGACTTTAGTGTACGAATAGGAGCATCTGAATTCTGAATCCAGCTGCTCTGCCTTTCAAACTTTCTTTTAAAATTGAGGTCAGACCTCATGCAGCGTCTCTCTCTGCATGTACAGGGTCTCTCTCTCTGTACTGTTTACTAGCTAATTATTTATGGCAATTTATTTCATGTGTGTTAATGAAACCCGATAGGGAAACAGCCATATTTACGACTGAGGTCGGGGAAACTTTAGTTTAGGTCTGAACGAACCTGCCAGGACATGAATTTATTCGTGTTTGTCTGGTCTGCACATTCTGTATAATTGAAAGATTACCGGAATACGATAACATCTTGTTTAAGAGTCTATTTTATGTTTCGAAATTGCACCTATATATATATGACCCTATATTTATACCAAGTTATGAAAATTGTATATTGTTATGCAGGAGGTCCACGAATATATTTTAAAATAGACCACTAATGGACTAACCTTACAATTATTCCACTGTATGCATGCAGCTAATTCAGGATATTTTTAAGTTTTCCAGAAAGGTGCTTTATGTCCGCGCAACTTGATCGGCCGCACGATAAACATCACATCCAAGCAAGCAAACTATATATAACAAGATTTTCACGGGTTGCATAGTACAGTATAATATAGTTTACCAAAAAACATCATTGCATTACATTATAAACATAGGTTTTGCCATATTTTGAATGAGCTTCCCAAATGGAATACTAACCAGTCCTAATTCCTATCTGAAAATAAAATATTCTTCTATGTACTAGCTAGCTAAATATTTTCTGATGCAAATAATGCTGCCTATACCAAATATATATAGATATCATGCAACCACTGCAATTTCGTGATATATGTAATATAATACCATAATTCGTATAAAGAACTTGGTCTTTGGAAAATATCTTTTATAAAATTAATCTTGGCCATGGTATATTCAATCATTGGAGTGCAAGATGACATATCATATAGATTATAGAAGTCCCGAGTATCAATAGGCCGCCTGAATCCCGCTCTAGATTAACCGCAATCCCGCGCAGAATATTCAGTTGAAACTAGAAGATTCCCTTGTACTTCATGTGTGCATGGAATTCGCACCCTGCAGGTCAGTCGCTGATGTTTAACGAACATCATGGACTATATCAGACTATATAGCCGAATATAGGAAATATTAACTAGTCATGCTACTGAATTAATGCATCGATCTATACGGAACCGTTTCTGCATATCATATTTATTATTTGTGAAAATGTCAGTATAGACTATTAGTAGCCTATACTGTTGCCTTTTCTCTATTGAATGTAAATCTGTAGCTATATTTTCTTGCGTGAGAATTCTAATTTGTAAATTTTATGGTTGAAAGCTGTTGAAACAACTAAAGAGCTTTTCCCACTGCATATCCATGCATAGCGACGCTTATATATAGGCCTAGCACATTGCAGTATGCGCGGGTTGTACTGTATATAAGTTTGCACAGATCAACATGCCATGCACTGATATATATGTTACATTGTCTTTTAAACATCGTCTATGGCCTATGCTAATGTATGAGAAACTGAAATAATGCAAACGGTACCTGAATGTTCGCTACCTTAAAATAATCATCTATACAAAGTTCGATTCTTGTCATTCATGCACTGCATTATATATATATATATATATATATATATATATATATATATATATATATATATATATATATATATATATATATATATATATATATATATATATAATATATATATAATACATATATATATATATATATATATATATATATATATATATATATATATATATATATATATATATATATATATATATATATATATATATATATATATATATATATATATATATGTAGTAAGTTTAGATATACAAAATAGTGCACTTGCTCTGTAACGACGTAGCCATCTCATTGAAAGCCTGACAGGCTTTCAGTCCCAATTAAGGTAATATATATATTCAAAAAAGGTTTTCCTTTGCAAACCTTGACTAAAACGCAAACCTTAAACTCTAAGCGCGCAAAACGTAATGGGAGCACAAGATTCAAGCTTAGTATAGTTGAATATTGCAGCTATTTGTGAATGAATAATTGTTCTCGTAAGGAGATATTTACCATGTCTCTGCCTAAGAAATGGCCCCCATGATATATATGATTTCTAAACTGATTAAATTATGCTCTCATATTGTGTTTTGCACGCTTAGAGTTTGAGGGTTAAGGTTTATAGAGTTTATAAAGTTTGCAAAGGACATGGTTGCAACCTTTTTTGAATTATCTGTATATATATTATATATCAGCTACTCAAAAAATCTCTCCCTGTATAGTTTATACCAGGGCGCTTATATATATATATATATATATATATATATACCAAATATGTATTTAGAATCATATATGAGTAGAGTGCTCGATATACCGAAGTATAGAGCTAATATAGATAAAGATAAAATAAACCTGGTTTACTTCATAAGATTTAAATCTTATGAAGTAAACCAGGTTTATTTTATCTTTATCTATATATATATATATATATATATAATCTATATATATATAAGCGCCCTGGTTTATACAAAGTAAGACCGCCTGCATGAGTCCTTCACACTCTATAGGTATGAAATCTGTTTAATGTTATATTAAGATGAGAAAACAACAAAGTTGCATATTTTCACGTACATTTTGGGCCATACCGTGCAGGAACGTTTATCTATTAAATTCAGGCCGCGAGGGGATCGCAATTATTTTCCGCTGTCTTGGAAGATTTCCTCACTGAAGCTAACAGTCATTCGATATGAAATTTAGCAAATTAATGTTCGTATAAAGCAACTCGGCTCAGTGTCGAGTCCATTTTCATTTAAAAAGGAATTTAAAAATTAAGCGTAGTCGTAGATCAGTGAAAAAAATGCCTTTCTGTTGAATAAGAACTGTGTTATATTATTATATTATGATAAATTGCTTCAATTTTGTAACTGGCCCATTTATTAATAATTAAAAACATACTAAAATCTCAAAAATAATAAAAATCACTAAAAATCTGCTAAATGTTCGGCAAATTAATTAAGCGAATTAAGTATTATATACTTCCCACCGGGCACACGACGTTGTTTCAACGTTGAATTTGGTAGAAAAAAGGTTGCGACGTCGACAACCTAATATCTACGTTGCTCTGACGTTGTTTTACAAACATTAGTTCAACAGCATGGAACAGACGTTGAATTAACGTTCGTTCGTGGTTAAATGTACGACGTCGATTTGTGAACCAATCTCAACGTTGTTTTAACGTGGATTCAACGTTGAATTATGGTTGACGAGATTATCAACCTATTTTCAACGTTGTTTCAACGTGGAAACAGTAACGTCGATCCAATTTGCATAGTCAACCCTTTTTCAACGTCTATCCAACGTCTGGAGGGTCATTTCCAACGTTGATTCAACGTTGGATAAACGTCATTTTGCCCGCTGGGTTATAGATCGGATTCCTAAAACTGCATATTATTAGAGGTATATGGCATATGCGTGTATGAAATCTAGCTCTTGTAGAATATATCCACAATCTCCATTTAAGGCCGGTGTAAACACCCCTCAATATGTATTGCGATTATGTGCGGGATTGCACAATCAGTTCAGGTTCAATGTTTTTCAGCTGTGAACTTAAGTCATTCAGCCGGATTCAGAATTTTTAACTTGTGTCTTGTTTAGTGCCGATATGCACAATAAAAATCAACCATGCTGATGAATACATGCAGAAGCTATCTTCTATGGTATGAATAACAGTAAACTGAAAAAATAGCAGACCCATTTAAGCTCTTTATCATATAATATAAGTATTACCAGATTTTATGATCTTTTTAACCGAAGTGAATTAAACCATATATAGACCCACAAACTTGCAATTGGCTGCGCGAAACTAGCGCGCATTTGCTGGCTGCAATTCAACAAAGCTATCCAATCCCAAGTGACAAGATAATACATTTTGACACAGATGGACAGGTATATTCGTGCATGCATTAACCCAAATATTATAGTATCAATTTTGGAAACTAGTAATCTTTGCATGCTGTGTTTCGATATGTACAAAATATTAGTATAAGCTCTTACCTTGGTTTTGCCAATGGAAGATCCAAGTCCTCGCAATGAGACGATGTATACAATCTACCTTACTTGCAGGATCTTGGTTTTTATGCCGACTAATCTGATTTAATTTACATATTCAATATTATGTAAATCAATCTTCACTTTGTATTCTCAACTAGCTGTAGTCGCATCGCAATACAAAGGGTTGTTCAAAACGTAGCAACCGTGACTTGCACGCCCACCGTGGCGTCTATAGCTATATGCGCCGGCTCTAATTTTTGTTAACTGATATATAACTTTTGCAATATTCAACCAGATTATATATGGGTTCTGCATGATGTGGAAAAGATAATGACTGCATTTATCAGAAATGCTGTTGAATTTACGAGCACTGCAATTTTACTTTTCGGGTTATCATGATGAATGCGATAATTTTGCTGTCCAAAGCTACATGTACAAAGGCCGATTTTATCAATTAAGTGCTTAAAACAACATTTTGTAGATTCCAACACGCCATTGTAACAAATCAAATTATGAATTGCCAGGTAACCTATACGTTCAGCCCTGAGGGATTAAAATTTGTTCATACAGCGTGAAGTAAAGTGTATTTATAATCCACGCACTTTGATCTCACAAGTCTGGTTTCTATTTGGTCGCCATGGACCGATATATTGGTTTGACGATAAGACAAGCCGGTCGAAATTGAAAAAAAAAATAAGAAAAATATTCTGCAAACCAACTTTGAAGCACAAGAAAGAGTTATATTACGCATGTGGGCGAGTAAAGATTTCTTTCTTCTTACGTATAGGTTCGTCAGGATATACGTAGGCGTACAGGACAAAAATGGTGAATTAACACAAGAGCAATGGAAAGGATTCAAACACGAGCTGAAAATGCATAACTATAGCCCGCGTGCAGGCCCAAGGAAACTGCATGATAGTGGGCCTGCAAGCAAGGCCCGGTATTTTGTAAAACGCCCCTTTTCATAACACGCCCCATTCGCGCGTCAATTGTCAAAAAAGAACCAATGACAGCACCCAAATATTAACAAACAAACTCGCATTAAAATGTTGCGGGCTTTTCTCTGCTTATTCAGAACATAAACAATGTCTAAATGGCTGCGTTTTAACTCCAAAAAAGCAAGCAACGCCGTCAGTAATTGCCAAATTTGCCGGTGCTCATTTTCAACTAAAATCGGAACAGGCAAATTAAGACGAATTTCAACAGAAAACCAGTCTCAAACTTCAAATCGTGAGGGAAGTCGTGCGACCACATCAGCATTTATAATGTGTGCTTCGCTGTCGCCATTGTTATAAATAAATTGTCTCACTTATCAGATCGTGTGTGCAATTCTTGTTGGCGGCGGAAAGTACGAAATTTATTTCAGTTATTTCATTTGGTAAAGAACTCTACAAAAGAAGAGAGCCTTCAGAGTCCAGATCGTTTTGTTTCAAATGGCAATTTAATACCGTCTTCTGTTTCGCTCTCTCAGCGAAGCCTTGTAAATCGCAAAGTGTTTTGAATAGGCTTACATGCAACTGCATCTCAATTCTCAATATCAACCAAAAGATCATTTTCTTGAGGAACATATAACGAAATAACGAATCAAGTCTGTTTGAAATTAATGAAACTCAAGTAAAGGTTACTATGCTCTATAGTTTACCCCAGTCGTAATGTTGCTATTCCAACACCTCACGACAAGTAATTCCCATTGGCATAACGGCAAAAACATATCTTCCTTCACGTAGACAATAAACAGTCTGTTCTCGTTCCATCTGTAATCGAAAAAGTGATCAATTTTCGAATTTTAAGCTTATCGAGAGCCTTTGTCTATGCCTTTGTGATGAATCACTGACCTAATTATAGAATCCAACAGCAAACAGCCAATCAGAATGCCGCGTTCGTGGGCGAACGCGGAAAGTACAAAATACCGGGCCTTGCTTGAAGGCCCACTATCAGTTCCCTTGGGCCTGCACGCGGGCTAATGCATAACCGAAGAGATGATCTTTCAACCTCGTATCCAGGCTCTTTCCTCTCTTGAGGAGCGTAGAGGAAAGATTCTGGGTACGGCTAGGTTGATGACTCCCACATATAAACTGCATATAGTCTTCTCCCAAAGAAACCTTCAGATGTTCTGTAAATAATACAAATTAACAATCTGAAATTATAACTTTTCTCCAATAATTTCGCCATTGACAAAGGCTTTTTAATTAACAAGTATAAATATACGTTGTAGACTCATAAACATGCGCTGTGAACAGTGAACTTGTGTTCATTTGCATAATTATAGATTTGCACCTAATTACATTAATTTGCACAAATTACTTTCCATTTCATCATATATTAGTAATATTACTATAAAAATGTATTTTTTCGATTGTATTCAGCGAGGTGGCGTTGCGTTTTTACATAATTAAAGCTGCAAATAATTTTAGAATTTATAATAACCTTGTGTATACTAAATAAACCACAATTATTATTACTATTACTATTATAACTAAGCCGTATTCACACTTTAGGCCATGGTATACTCCAGTTTTGCTTACGTTGTGTGATTGGCTACAAGGCTCCCTTCACTGAATTTGAATCCATCCGGAAACAAAGCTTTTCGAAAATTGCTTTCAAAGTGGGAACTTTTGGAAACGAAGGCTTGTGGATTAGCCGCGAACATGCGAAAACGAAGGTTTCAAACCGATCCGTGACGTCATGAACACAATCAATAAGTGGTAAACTTGCCGTGTATGTTTGCATAGACTTGCTCCAAGTCTCTCTTTCATTGTCATATAGTATCGATCCACTATAGTGTACATTACATGACGTAGCATAGAGAAGCGGAGCGAGAAAGAGAGACTTGTCAACTTCGGAAAATCTGGTTCAAAACTGAACCGAAAATGCAAGACTTGCTTTAATTGTTTTCTGTCAGTGTTTATATATATGTATTGATCTAGCACAGTGTAAATAACATGAGTTCCATTATAGTAAATAATACAAAAAGAAATTAAAGGAAAACAATTAAACCAAGTCTTGGATTTTTGGTTCAGTTTTGAACCGAGATTTTCCGAAGTTGACAAGTCTATCTTTCTCGCTCCGCCCCTCCGTACTCCGTCATGTAATGTACACCATAGTGGATCGATACTAAATGACAATGAAAGAGAGACTTGGAGCAAGTCTAATGATTGCACCGATCTCACCTTATTAAATTAATTGCACGTGCATGTAAAGGATTATATATATATATATATATATATATATATATATATATATATATATATATATATATATATATATATATATATATATATATATATATATATATATATATATATATATATGAAACAGACTGTTGTGGTTTTTTGAGGTAAAACGAAAAACTAATGATTGCACCGATCTCAGCTTATTAAATTAATTGCACGTGCATGTAAAGGATTATATATATATATATCCTATATATATATATATATATATATATATATATATATATATATATATATATATATATATATATATATATATATATATATAATATATATAGTGGATCGATACTAAATGACAATGAAAGAGAGACTTGGAGCAAGTCTAATGATTGCACCGATCTCAGCTTATTAAATTAATTGCACGTGCATGTAAAGGATTATATATATATATATATATATATATATATATATATATATATATATATATATATATATATATATATATATATATATATATATATATATATATATATTAAGATGAAAATGTTCTAGAGTGTGTATTATATAATTTCCATACCCATGCAGCGCAAGCAGAAAGATGTTGTCTGCCGCGGCTGGGTCTTGAACCCGCGACCTTCGAATTACTATAGATCGACGCTCTACCAACTGAGCTACACGGTCAGACGGATTTAAGACTGGAAATTATGAAATATATACTGAATGTCATAAACATACTCGTTTATATTAATTCAGCATCAGTCGAACAATACTAGTTCTGCAAGTGTTATGTTAGTTGTGTAATTGTACACTCTGTAATATGTTAAGATGAAAATGTTCAAGAGTGTGTATTATATAATTTCCATACCCATGCAGCGCAAGCAGAAAGATGTTGTCTGCCGCGGCTGGGTCTCGAACCCGCGACCTTTGAATTACTAGATCGACGCTCTACCTACTGAGCTACACGGTCAGACGGATTTAAGACTGGAAATTATGAAATATATACTGAATGTCATAAACATACTCGTTTATATTAATTCAGCATCGAACAATACTAGTTCTGCAAGTGTTATGTTAAATTGTGTTATTAATTATTTCGAAGGTCGCGGGTTCAAGACCCAGCCGCGGCAGGGTATGGAAATTATATAATACACACTCTAGAACATTTCATCTTAACATATTATATACAGTATATATATACAGTATATATATATATATGTATATATATATATATATATATATATATATATATATATATATATATATATATATATATATATATATATATATATATATATATATATATATATATATATATATTGCCGACTCTAGATGAGAGAAGAACATTTGCCGATAAACTGTTTTACACACAAAACAAATTGTTAGGTAATTTTAGTTCAGTCTTCAAATCAATTTGTTCAAATTAAAAGGTAATTTATGAAACTTAGAGCTTCATTGAAAAGGAAAGCAGTTCATGTTTTTAGGCAAAAGGTTAAAGCAACAAAATTCAAAGCGAACTTGCCTTATATTTCACGATTTCCCATAGTAAATCAATTCTTCTCATTTCTTCAAACAAAATTGCTTCAAGCTTGTTGTATGTGAAACGATTTTCCAAATATATGTCTTTTAAAACTAATTGAAATCTTGCTTATCCCACTCCCACAAGCAATCAGCCATATTTTTGAGATCAGTGAGGATGACCACCACTGAGCTATAATATTACTGGAGGAGGTGCTCCTATCTCTCGTCAGTCAAAAAAGTGTCCGCAAAAACATGGCGGATTTTCACGTTTGCTGACGCCATACGGTTCCTCCGGCTCATGGCATTTACCACTGACGAACCGTGATACTAAGCATCCATCAAAGACCTTCCCCCCCCCTGTTTTTGCACAAATATTTTATGTTTTCAAGACAAAATCATGCCGTTTTTCTCTGCCCGTGGATGCAAAAATACGCTGTAAAGACTTTAAAAGGAAGAATATTTCTTCTGAAAGGTAAGATTAGTGAAAATTTTAAGTTTTTACCTTTTATTCGACTAATTCTCGATTGTCAAAGTCAGGGGCCGATATGCGTACTATATTAAAAATCGAGGTATAAATATGTATTTGTCAAACACTTATATTTTATATTTACACCTATATTTCTGGAGCAGACATAAAAAAAAGTTGTACATGATTATTTATATATTGTGTACATACATTTTGTTTCTAGTTTCAGGCACTGGCTTTTGTTTCTAGTGCCAGTTTAGTAGTTTAAATAGCAGCTCATGCAACTGTACTGTAGTTTGCTTTTGTTTAATAAAGAGCAGTTAGCACTAGATTGTATACAGTATAGACAAGCTGTATTGTATCCTTCACAAATATTACAAACTACTAGTCCTGCTACTTGCTAGATTTTGTATCAGAATTTAGTTACCAATTGGCTGTGTAGTTAGGCTTTTCTTGTGGGGTTGTACACTACATTTCAGTCAGCATCGGGCTATCATCGAGACATCAACTTGTGCATACCCAAATTTGCATGATTTATACTTATATCATTCTTGCATTGGCATTACCTTGAATGTTAGTATGGGTCAACCTCTATGCCACATAAAAATCTCCAAACCATAAACCTCATTCACTCAGAAAATACCTTTGTCACGGGAGTCTTGATTTATGTTTAGAAAAAGCCATATTTATTTAGGTCACTTAGAGGTTAACCCATTGAGTCGCATTGCGTCCTACTTTATTAAAACTAGAGATAATTTTACTCATCAACTGGGGAGAGCGATGGCGCTTAACTCATTAAGCGCCAGCGCTCTCCCCTTGACGAGTAAAATGGTCTGGCGTTAGACAGAGTAAAATACTAAAGTAGGTCGCATCAGGGTGCAATGCGACTCAATGGGTTAATGGGTTAATTCAGATTTATACAAGATTAGTTGGGCACCAGAGCTAACAGTTCCAATCCAGCCAGAGCTGTAACTTGCAAAGTAGGGGTGGTGGTCTGAGCTAACTGGCCAGAACCTACAGTATGCACCCATTGCAATTAATTTTGAAATGTACATGAAACAGTTTCACACCATAGAATAAAACAATCATAAACAAAGTAACTTTATTTCTCATTTCTATTACAGGCATCAAAGTGATATACAAGAACTGAAGCAAAAATGTTCTTGCTGTAACAGATGTATTGTATCATGATAGTTAACATTGATGTGTATGATCTTATTTGGGTGTAACAATGTGTAGTAATACAGTATCTGTAGTAGTAATCTGTTATCGCTACCAAAAGAAAATTGAAAAGAGATAAACATGCCAGACAGCCAAAGTGATGTCACAGCTCATCAGCTCATGGGACTACAAAGTGATAATTATACTAGAATAACTTGATTATACAGTTAGTTCAAACTGATTGGGTCATTCAAAAAAATATCCACACCCCTAATGGAAGAGATGGGAGGTTCAGCTTCCTCCCACTTTTGGACACCCTTAGCTAATACTTTTACTATTATCAGCAGTTGAGTTCTGCCCACTTCAGACAGCACTTCAGACATATGTGGAGTTAGTGTTTATCTTTTCTGGAATGACTCATTGGTGATTGGTAGTTAATAATTATTCATTGAAGAATTTAAATTAAAATAATACAATTTCAACTGCATCATTGTGGTAGATAATTCTGCAATAAACAAGAATAGATTATATAGGTTATTCTACAAGAGAAAATTTAAAGCATGAGAAATCATATCAAGGGAAAATGAAGAATACAAAAGAAATATACTAGGTTTTCAGACGATGCTCGAACTTAATTTGTTGGCAAGTTGAGTGACCCCCAAGTTACAGAAACCATAATCCTATGTGTATGTACACCAAAACCTAAAAAATATGAACTAATATAAAGGCCCCAAGCTCTTCGGCTGAAATGTCGAGGTTAATATTTGTCTTAGGTTTAGCTACAGTTGCATCATCCTACACTAACTAGTTCGAACCCCCACCCAAGAACTACAATCATAGTGATTCAAAACTCCTTAAGGTACTCCGACAGCAGAATGAGCTTCCTTGAGTACCTCTAGCTTTTGCATATAAAGTTAGTACAAAATATAAAATACTATAAATTCTCTTTGTTATTCCCTCAAAATATAGTGATAAATACTAGCTGGTAGCACGTTATACTGTACTTTCATGTCATTATAAAATCAGTCCCCAGGGTCAAATTAAGATAATTTGATATTTGTAAAATGCACAGTTTCGTGCCACCTACAGAAAATTATAAATTTTCAAAATAGTATCATGAAATACAAACTGCAGGCTTATTCAAAACATCATAAAATAATGCAACAAATAGAGCATGTAAACAATAGATCAAAATACCATTTTGCTCACGATTTAAATGAAACGAAAGTTGATTACTTTGTACAACAAGGCTTTAGAGACCTTTACATACTTGTGGCTAAAATATAATACATTGTACCACAGTTAAACCCAACAATTTTTGTAGAAAATTTGCTCGAGTGTGACTCAGTGTGTGAAGTTATGAACTGAGAAATATTTTACCTGTAGTTGCGGCTTCAAATATCGTCTTTGCGGATGTATTTCGAGGTTTTCTGTCTTTTGAGGACGAGAATATAATGTGTACGACTTGCACACATTTGAACCAGTGGTCAAAGGTACAAAAAAATATGAAAAAATCAAAAACTACGAGAATATACTGCAAATACTTCAACAAGCAAAAATATTTTAATAAGAACCAGGGGGGTGTGAAAGTCGTAGCGGGCTCAAAATTGAGCCTGGTCAGTGGTAATTACCATGAGCCGGAGGAACCATATGGCGTCATTCTGGCGTCAGCAAAGGCCGAAATCCGCCATGTTTTTGCGGACACTTTTTGATGCCGAGCACGTCCTCCAGTAATATAGTATAGCTCAGTGATGACCACCCACCGAAACACGCACAGTGACCCACGCCCGCGATATTTGATGAACTT